CCTCTATTTATGTTGTATAGTGTAACAGACATTGACTAGCAAAATGATTCCTATTTCCAAAAGGAGGTTTTTGTAACAGTGTTTTGAATTAATCTCACTGGTGTTTTCAAGACAGTGAAGTAGTGTGTGTATTTGACAGGTTTGTGTGTCATCTGAGGCCAAAGTTTGAGTCTGACAAAAGAGAACATGACTAAAGTATTTGATTTTGACCTGGAAGTTTGAAGTCTGCACGAGTTGGTGTATAGTTTTGAGACTGTGTTTACAGGTGTGAGGAAATGGTGAATTGATTCATGAATTGTGTTAGCAATCGAGAAAAACTGTAATTCAGTTCCAGATACACAATGTATTTGAGCAGTGTTTAGTTTAATTTTATATTAAGGAATATACTTTGTTTAGTGAACTAAAATGAAATATGTTGACAGTAATAATGTGCTGACCGCATAAATATTAGTTTTGGAATTTAAACTTAAATGGTTTAAAGCAATTTACAGTGTTAGAGGTTTTTTATGTAAATAAATAAGAGTGACCAATAACACCTATAAGTGAAATCTACACTGCATCACTGTACACTCACAGATAAACCGCAGCTGACTCTGACTGTAAAACCCCAGAGTTCAGTGTTCACTGGAGACACAGTTACTCTGAGCTGTGATGTGGGACAGTTAACTGGATGGACAATTCACTGGATTAAAGACTCAAACCCTGAATCCACGGGTGATGCAACTAAAACAATCAAGTCTGTGAGAGTCTCTGATGGAGGAGTGTACAAGTGTATAGCACAACGAGGAAACTACTACAGCTACTACAGTAATGCAGTTACGATAACAGTAAAAGGTCAGCGCTCTCTTACTTTCTATACTTTTTTTAATGGAAGACAACTTTGTGTTTGTTAGAAAACATGATAATTACTGTCATGCATTAACAATGTCAGTTAAACTAAATGTCAAATAATAATAATAATAATTTAGGTATCACAAATCATCTGAAATATGTTCAGACATGCGAAGTGTGTTTTTTGCTCATTTCACAGAGAGACCCAAACCTGTAGTTGATGTTCATCCTGATGGACGTGTGTTCAGAGGAGAGACGGTCACTCTCACATGTGACACACAGCAGACAGGAGTCTGGCAGTACAGCTGGTATAAAGACAGAAAACGAGTTTATAGCCCAAGACAAAACCAGAACTATAAAATCCCATCTGTGGATTCATCTCATAGTGGTGTGTACAGCTGCAGAGGAACTCAGTCACAAGCACCAACATACTCACAGATGAGTGACGGAGTTACACTGACAGTATCAGGTGAGAGCTTTCATTTTTCCTTACATCATTTCAGAACAAACAGATTGAGTAGGATATCGTCCTCTTTTGGAAGACCAAACAAAGTAGTTTCGCTTTCACAACGAAGCTCACAGCGTCTTCACAACATGGCGGCAGCGGCAACAATACTACAGTGAGAATAAAAGTTACGCCTTCTTTCTTTGCGTGAACATTTGGGCGGTGTTATGCAAATCTTCCCACATAGTGACGTAGATACCGTATGTGGGGGCGTGTTAGCATGAGCCGTTTTAGAATTTGGCTGCCCCCTAATAATTGACTAATTGTTAGTTGACCAGAAGAGGCTTGGTTGACCAAAATGTTATTAGTCGCTTAGTCACAGAAGAAAAAAAAAACACATTGGCGAAGTCACGCAGATTGTTAATGGCTGGTCTTTGTGGTAATACATTGGGCAGGACATACAAATGCTCGCCTATCATCCATCGACCTAATATGACTTATCGTCTGAAATATGTTATTATTAGCAACTTTACATGGCCGCTCAGTCTAATGTTAACCGAGAGAAATGTGCGCTATTCGAGTGTCTGTGTGGAGTATGAAGAGTAGCGCGCTTACTGCAGGACAAATGGAGGCGCTGGTGCGCTCACTTGCTCAAAATACTCCCTTGCTCAAAATACTCCCTTGCTCAAAATACTCCCTCATTAAGATAAATTGTGCTTTTGTAAAATAATGAAAGCAATCAGGATGCGCTTTCTGCCGTCTCAGTTTCTGTGAACTTGAGCACGAAACTCCGTTTATATCTTTGCCTTACAGACATTAAAATTATATCTACAGAGAGTGAAATGTCTCATTTCAAATAAACCAATTCAAATAGAAGATCTAATATACTCAGATTATGTAATCTGTATGAAACATGCATACAGACAAATATATTGCGGAGATGACAAGACAGTGTCGCCAACTTAAATCTCTTAAACCAAAAACAAAAGCACCAGTTTATCAGTGAATTATTAAAATGTTAATGCAGTCTCCGTAATTTTTTTCCTGATACATTCATAATCATTACTTCTGTGGTGCGCTGTAGCAAGCTTTATGCGTGTGCTTGAGCGCTTATTAGGCTATATAGGCAATTAAAGGCTCATTATAATGATTTAAATGGCTTATTATTAAAAGTGTGATTAGTCGACTAATGCTTAAAACAACTACCAGTCGAAAAATCCTTAGTCGAGGGCAGCCCTAATGTAAAGTTTAAGATTTTACATGTAAAGATTAAAATAACACTTCATTGTATTCATATTTCATATCTGGTATTTGTCTGTTTTTTATTTTACAGATTTACCCAGATCTACACTGACTGTGACACCAAAGAGTGTGTTCACTGGAGAGACAGTCACTCTGAAGTGTGTGATTGAGTCTCACAGTAACTGGAGATATGAGTGGAATAAAGGCAGAGACAGTGTAATGTTACAGACGTCTGATCGTTACACTGTAAACAGAGACACTCTCACTATCAGAGGAGCGAATGAGTCTGATCAGGTTCAGTACTGGTGTAGAGGACAGAGAGATGGAAGACCAAAATCATCACTGGAGAGTAACCGGATACATCTGTCTGTTAATGGTTAGTTAATATTTTGAGAAATACTTGTCTGTTGTTTAAAATGACAATATACTCATAAAACTTGGGGTTCCCCGAGAAACTTTTTGAAAGCCTTCAGGAGATCTGCAGTGATGTTCAATAAGTGCTTGTTTTTTTTTCAGTGTCAGGTTCAGGTCAGATTTCTGTCTTCAGCATCCTCAGTTTTCTTCTGGCAGCTTGTCCGTATCTGCTGGCGACAGTCGTGCTGCTGTTCAAATGCTACAGAGCGAGAGGTACAACTTCTGTCTGATTCGTCTCTCTCCTCTGAGTGTCTTTTCTGTAAACCATTCACATTCACTGACAGACAGGCCTTTACTCTTTCTCTTTTTATATGTTATAAATCAATATTTACAACACATGGTGGTCATTCATAAGCAGTATCTGCAGTGGAAGCAAAACAGAAAGAGTCAAACTGAATTATACAAGTTAATGGTGTGTGTGTGTGTGTGTGTGTGTGTGTGTGTCACAGTTGCATCTACTGAAGACCAAAGCCAGTATGCCGTAACAGAGGAACAAGCTTCAACCTGATTTCATCCATTCTTCAAACTGCATATATAGAGTCACAGGATGCTGGAGCCTCAGGCTGAAGGCTGGGAAACTCGCAAGACTAACAGACACACATTCACACTCTCACACATATGGACAATTTAGTGTTTCTAATTCTCCTGGGGCCTCATGTATAAAGCTTTATATAGATTTCTTCCTAAATGTGTGCATACCCACAAAAGCTAGATTTTGCGTACGTACAAAATTTTTCAGATTTATAAAGCCATGCATATGCCAGAACCTGGGAAAAATTCCCTTTGTAATACCCAGTCAGCGGTCGATTGTGTTTACATGAACCTCCACCCCGTCTCCTCCCCGAAATAGCCATATATGGAGCTTACAACGCCTAGTTTTAATATGCATAACGTAATCTGCATATCATTTCCATGCATATTCCATCCACGTGA